CATCTCGTGTTTCGCACATTCGAATAAAACACTACCATGACTTAAAGCTATAGCAACTCCTCCCATTTGTGGATCTTTGAAGCACTCTTCGTTGTCGGAATAATCGGCTACCTCACCGAGTGGTTCCGCTTTCGGTGGTGGCTCAGGAAGTACCGGGAAGTATGGTGGGGGTCCATAAATGTCCCAACGAGAAGTTTCCCATCTTGGCCAGCCTGTATTTAAACTCTGATACGGTGGTATACCTTGATACGGATATTGCGGAGAATGGAAGCAGGCGTCCCTTTTGGGTTGTTGATAAAATTGCGGAGGATATTGTGCGGCTTGTGGGTGATAAGGTTGATGATAATTGTAACCTTCCCAAGAATTTGGATATGGTTTTTCAAAAACTGGATACGTTGGATAACCGTATTGCGGAAATGCGTGAGGATGACCCAAGCTTGACATGGCGTGCAAATCTTGAACTTGTTTCATTTCTTCCGCCCAAGCTAAAGAAGTGGTATTCGAATTAACGATCTCTTGTCGTCCATCATGAAATCCTTCTCTTAATTTCTCATCATGCCAATCTGTTCGTTTTTGATGGTTCTGATTGGGTACGCATGTTTGTACCCCATTGCTTAAACTATCCGCAAAAGTATTATTTCTTGCGGGTTCCTGCGGTTTCAAAAATGTTCTTGCAAATGTGTTTGGATAAGCATTGGCATCGGTAGACAAATGTTGACCCGATGTTGTTCTCGAAGGTGGTCTTCCTTTGGGTATACGGAAAGGGGATGGTTCGGTTTGCGTTTCCCAACAAGTTGGCTTTGCTTGATCAACATTTGGTAATCTTTCGGGCCAAGTTGAATTTTTCTGATGATCCGCTTGATTATTTATTTTCTCTGTCACATTTTGATGCTCGTTAAAAAGAGTCTGATGTTCCATCGATTTTGAAGTTTCGGAAGACCATAAATTAAACATGTTCCAACTGCTTCCATAACTTCCTTGTTCCGAAGACACGGTTGGAAACTGAGGGGTTGTTGAAGTTTTTAAATCCGTTTGTCTTTGCAAACGACCAAAGTACCTTTTTTGATCGCTTGAACTAAGAAGACCTTGCACATCACTTTGTTGATCAGGAATAGATGGAAGATTTAAGGAACCCTGAAGGAGGAAATCTGGGTTCGTAGCACCAAGTGATTTGTGACTATTACCATCCATGCAGGAAGTACCACTATATCCAGGAAAAACATCCCCTAAATTAGAATCGGTATGTTGATTTTGATATGTAGCGTTTCTTCCTAGTTGAACGGATTGTGAAAGATAGTGACTTTGTACTCTTGATGAAAAGGATGGCTCGGTTTGTGATTTTGGTAACATAAATCTTGTAGAATTCTGTGATTCTAAATAAGTCTGTGACAATGCACCAGAGTATTTTTGTTGACTAGCATCTTGTCTCATTCTAGATTGATTGTCCATGTTATTTTGACCAACATGACGAATGTTATTCGCATTTGCTTGTGATTGATGTATTCGTGATTGTAAATTCTTTTGCATAACATCTAAATGGGTCGGTGAATGAAAGTATCCTGCTCTTGGAGACGCATTATTTTGTCTGGTCTCAAAAATATGTTGATAGCTTCTCGCAGAAGTTGCATGATTGTAACTACCGTCAGGTGTAGTAGGGTATCCCGAACTTCTTGGAGAAGCCATTCTTGGATCCTGCGGCGTTGATGGGCATCCTCTAGGTGACATGGCATAAGCTGCTTCACCAGGTGTGCATGGATGAGAACTTCTCGGAGAAATAGGATGACCTCTTGGAGAATGAGTGTAAGTACCTCTTGGGGAATCCATGGTGGAGTTTGGTAAATTCCTTGAACCTGGTCTATGATCTTCCTGCGAAACTGTACTTCGTGGTCTGATATCATCCAAGCTAGTGCTATCTGGATCTACTTTAGTGTCTCTCTCTAAACCACCAAAGGCATATTCTCCCCAGGGATTTAACCAATTATTTTTTCTTTGATCGAGCCAACCATTTCGACTCCATTGTTGTTCACCCTGATAACCCCAACCTTGATACATAGACACTGGACTATCGAGGACCGTCGATGATACCTGAGAACTTTGTAATTGCGCATCCATACCTTCGAACATTGAAGCCATTTCTAAAGATAATTGAGTATCTCTTGCTGGAGTTCTGGACAAATCATGATGATTCACTGCACGACTTGCTTCTATTATTTTATCGGACGCGTTAGTGTGCCTTTGTATTTCTTTTTTATTTGCAACAGTATCAGGTTCCTCATCTTTTCTTTTCTTTCCATGCCGACGACAAGGTTGAAGAGGAACCGATCGGACTCTGACCTCGCAGGGATATCTGTTAAGACGATAATTTTTTTTCATATAATATTACCATTCATGTGATTTATATTCAATGTAGAACGAGAATTACATACTTATTCAGAACTTCTAAAGCCCCAGAGCGAACTTTTTCTTCTTGTCCTTCTTTTGAACCAAATTCATCTGTATCGTCCATGATGTAAAGAGGAAGTACATGTAGCTGTTCATCTTCAGGTTTCGCTAATGTTCGATGTTTTGTCAGACTTACTACCTATAAATTGAGTTTATTTTATATACATAAGCGCATTAATATAAAAGAAAATGATAAAACGCTTTACATACCACAGTGCATCCGTTATTCATATTGTGGAGATCTCGATGAGAGTGAGCACAGAAATCGATACAAGCCGTTACACCAGAAAAGGGTCTCCCAGGTTTAAATCCTAATCGACATTCGCTTGCTTCTCGTTCAAATTGAGTTTGATTATTAAATGCTTCCGGTGCAAGACTTAAATATAAAGGTGATAAAAGTGTAGCCAAAACGTGCATCCTCTCTTCAACCTCTTGTTCCTGATTAAAAATCATTGATATCATGTATTCCCAAGAAAAAATAGCTATTACTATAAATAAAACTTACCTCTGACCGAACGGATAATCGAAATTTTCGTACAGTTTTGCTTCTTGCATATTTACAACCATTGTAATACATAGACCAAGAGCATCCGAAAGAAAAACTCGCTCCGCAGGTATCAGGATCCAGTCCTTGACAAGCACAGGTTCTCGGTTCATTAGTACCACATCTTCTGGTCGTTGGAAGACCAAAGCGATTTAATTTGTGACTCAAAAGGGAATAAATGCGATCAGCCTCATGAGTTGGAACTCCTTCCCAAGCAACCATGGCTACAACGATCCATGCCGTCGCACATTTATGACCTTGTCGATGTTTCACTATGGAAAGGATCTTCTCATCGATGCCGGATCGTCGTATTATCTAGCGAATCACTGATATTACAATCCCATCACCACAGTATAATTTAGGCCGATTTTTAATATTAAACTAATATCATAAATTTCTAATTATTAATACAAAATATTGTCCAAATTGAACTTACCCATTTAGCCATTGGACACCCTTGAGTAGTCTTGCCTTCCTTCCCAGTATAAACGACCTTCTCGAACCTTATTGCATTTCCCTTCAGCCCAGTTCTTCTTTCAAGATCGTTCCGAAGATCAGACAGACTTGCAGCCGCTCCGAGATGAGTGTAGTACGAGCCGGGTTCAGGTGGACCTTGTAGTTGAACCTCATTTTATTTACGAAACCGACGTTTCAACGAAAGGAAGCAACAGAAGCGGAAACATTTATGCCATGTATGTTATATCCTCGAGAAGGAATTGGGTTAGGTATGTACACACTTCTCTCTGGATCTCTGAACACAGCGCATAATCGATGTATTTTGGCCGTAATTATTAGTACTTTTGTTTGAATATAATTATTCTTTCGTGTGCAAATATTCATTGTTAGTGTGTTCTCTCAATGTTAGTGTCGTATTGAATACGCAATAGCAACTCACATTTATCGGCAGGAAAGCAGTTGCAGTCCGGTACTTCGGTCCTAACATTGTTCTTCAGTTTGTCCAAATGATCTTGCAATTTAGTTGTCGATGATGCGTTGCCGCTTTTCGGACTATTAGATCCTTCGTTCTTTATATCAGAGTCTGATTTCTGTTGAGAATCTGCTAATATTTCATCCCTCGTCTGAAGACCTTGACAACAACCTTCGCGCAGGTGTTCCGGCGTAGGTTGCTCCGTGCCACCTCTCCGACAGCACCATGAACCAGTACCTGGTGATACTTTGGCGGGACCACCGTCGCCTCTAAATTTATAGTCCGAAGCATCATGCGATGTTTGACCAGGTTCAGCTTTTACAGGCAGCGTAGTATGGTCTTCTCCTCTAGAAACATTGCAGGATTCAATGCTTTCGGGTATGGCGCAATTGTAGTCTCCTATGTTCTCCTGCTTGATGGTTTGATCTGAAGCGTACTTTACCTCCGAACTATCTTCCTCTTTCGTGGATGACTGGTCTGCTTTCATTTCAACGGATCTTTGTTCATTCTCAACTACAATTTTGCTGATGACAGAAGTATCCGCAGTCTGCATAAAATCAAGGTTGTCCTCTCTTGCTCTTTTAGTTGCATTCGTATCTTCTCGTAGATCTTCGAGTCTTTGTGTTTTTTTTTCAGCACACTGTTGCTGAAACGTCTTTTCTTCTATGATAGAATTATCATGATGTTTATTATGGTCTTTCCATAATCGTTGCTGAGTTTGTTCGTGCATATGTTGTTGTTCCTCAGAAGGCTTTTCAAGGACAATTTTATCTTCTGTCGCGAATTTCATAAAATTTTCTATAGCAGTCACACCGGTCTCTGTTAGTACGTTATGATTAGTTAAACTGGTTCCACCTCCTGTCCATTCTAATAAGCCACCACCTTCGGGCAAACTATCGACCCGAGGGTGGTGGCTATGCAATAAAAAATTACCGGTCAGATTTTCATTAGATTGCGCCATTGACATGATTGTCGATTGATTGAGGTACTGATCCGTTCTCTTTTCTTGCATTTTCTCTGAATTTTCATGTGACTCTCGTAACCGATCATCTCCGACATATTCTCCATTTGATCCAATAATGTTATTAATGTTATGCTGACCTTGCATTTGATGATGCATATGAAGATGCTGTTGCTGTTCTTGATGTTGCTGCTGCATTTGTTGATGTTGCAATTGCTGCTGTTGTTGCAATTGCTGCTGCTGTTGTTGCTGTTGTTGCAATTGCTGCTGTTGTTGATGCTGTTGTTGTTGATGTTGTTGTTGTTGATGTTGCTGTTGTTGTTGTTGTTGTTGTTGTTGTTGATGCTGCTGCTGCTGCTGTTGATGTTGCTGATGAAGATGTTGCTGCTGTTGCTGTTGCTGCTGCTGCTGCTGCTGTTGTTGTTGTTGTTGCTGCTGCTGCTGTTGCTGTTGCTGCTGCTGCTGCTGCTGTTGTTGCTGTTGCTGTTGTTGCTGCTGTTGTTGTTGCTGTTGTTGTTGCTGCTGTTGATGTTGCTGCTGTTGATGTTGCTGCTGTTGATGTTGCTGCTGTTGATGTTGCTGCTGTTGATGTTGTTGTTGTTGTTTGCTTAAAATCATTGATTTGAGCCGACTGTTCAGATTCACTCGATTTGATTGAGCATATACATTGTTTTCATGGTTGTCTTGATTATCCGAATATCCATTGTTTTTACTATTATCTGCATTTTGTTGCCACATGATTCTTTCCCCAGAATTTTGCATATCTTGTTTCGATGTATGCTGACCCCACGTAGGTTGATTTTCACTTACTGAAGATGGGGACCACGTCATATGATTATCCATTTTAGTTTCTTGCGATGATTGATTTTGCCATGTTGTAGATTGATGACCAGGTGTTCTTCTTGGACTAGGTTGAGAATCTGGCCATTGTTGTTGAGGTTGCTGACTGGATTCACTTTTCATGCTATTGGGTGACCAGTTGGGTTGACTAGTTGGTGTGTCTGGCCATGTCATTTGATTGGAGGGAGTCAGTCTTGGATTTTGTTCAAGTTTGGTTTGTTGCGACCATTGCTGCTGTTGTATTTGCTGAGAGGATATAATCAATCCCGAATTTTGTTGACCTGTATTTTGTTGCGTTTGTATTTCAGGACTACTCTGTTGCCACGAGTGTTGACCAGAAGGCGTTACTCTTGAACTTTGTTGGGACGGATTTTGCTGATGATCTGGTAATTTTGGAGAATGTTGTGGCCACCCCTGATGTTGTTTTTGAGTAGATGGTGTCAATCTTGAGTTCTGAGTATCTCTTAATTTAGGACTTTGCTGCGACCAACTTCCCTGAGTTTGTTGAGATTGTTGTTGTTGTTGTTGATTCTCAGTATTGTCAGTCCACGATTGAGGAGTTTGAGGTTCCTTTACGGTACCATTTTCCCAACTCATATGACTACCCGGTCTTGACAACTCTTGTTGTCCTTGTAGCTGCATAGCTTGTTGTTGCTCATTTTGCTGCTTCATAGTATTCTGCATACTCTGTTGCTGAAGCTGCTGCTTTGAAGATTTTTGCTGTTGATGGTGTTGTTGAAGAGTAGAATCCGACCACGTCATATTACTATTATTTACACCACTGATTTTTGAACTCGTACTAGTGTCAGTCCATATATGTCGTTGACTAGTATCCGACATAGTATGTTGCCGTTGCAAATGTTGCTGTTGTTGGTGTTGTTGCTGATGTTGTTGAGCAACTTGTGATTGCCACTGATTTTGTAGCTGTTGTTGACCCATTTCCACGTAGCCTGGATATCCGTTAGAGTTGTGTAAACTCTGTGGGCCCGGTTGAAGTGGATACCCAGGCATCTCGTTTCCCGACACATTATTCGCAGCAATTGTGGCAAACCCTTTTACTTGCGTGTCCGTAGGAGGTTGCTGTTGTTGCTGCTGTGGGGGTTGTTGTTGTGCCTGTTGGGTATCCATGTGTACGGAGCTACTACGGCTTGTTGGAGTAGTCGAAGGTGGTGGTGCCATTGTCACATCCTGAAAAGAGGATCATTCGATCTGTAACTTAAAATCGATTGCAGCTTTATCATCCGCAAGAAGAGACGCTTACTCTTCTTTGCTATGTAATACATGTGTTATTAAACCAATGATACGATTAAAGCACTATTATTGTGTAGATATGATAATTAAAAAATTAAATTTATCTTCTTGCTTTAATACATATTTTGCACGTATCACTGTATTTAATATGTATTTTAGCAACGAATGTTAAGCTTCGTCTTCAAATATAATATAAAAATATGGCCTTTGCATAAAACATTGCCACGAATAAGTTTTACTAGCAATCCTTACCTGCTGCTGGTAACCGTTAACATAATCCTGTCTTTCGTAACCAACGGGTTGCGTTGGTGCTGAAGCAGGATCCATAAATTGACCATTTAATGGCCTTTGAGGTGTCGAAGCTGCCGTTTGTGGTGCCACTGGTGTTAAGGGTGAAGGTTGCCCCGTAATTGTATATTGTCCTGTAGTCCCGGCTCGTTGAAATGCCGATTGATCAGTAGTTATAAAAGTTTGCTGTTGATACGCGACTGCAATAACGATTCATACCAATTCATAAAAATATATATAGACATGCCTATTTTAAAAATAATTGTACTACACAATTCCTATTTATGTACCTGGTTGAGGATGATAAGGCGTTGCGGTGCTGTATTGAGTGTGATATCTTAATTCTTCTAACTGATTAGGAGCAGGAATTTGTTGAATAAATTGTTGAGGTGGCCATGCAGCTGGCGTGGTTTCAACCGCGACTGCACCCACAGGACCAACTCCCTGATGCCATACTGTATTACCGAAACCAGCTGCCGGTCGAAAGCCAGCACTAGAATCTCCATAAAATGGCACTACACCGGGAGACTAGAACAAATATACGAAGTGCACAATATAATAATAGATATAATATAAATCTCAAGAGTGCGCTTTAACTCCTGCATTTAATTATTAAGAGTATCTAAATTTTATTTAGTCTAATTTTGTCAAATAACGTTGTAACATTTGCCAGACAAACTATTTAAATAAACCTCAATTGTTATGTGTCACTGTTCGATCAACAGTTATTGAATTACGAAAGTAATCCCATTAACGAACGACCAAGGAAGAGGAATTTCCTCGCAACATCCTATAATCGGAAATCCCAGAGGTAGATTGATTTAGCAACGATCGATCTAAATACGAAATATGCTCAAACATATCGTATCGATTGGGTATTAATATCTAAGCGATAAAAAGGAAATCATGTATAAATTGTACATATAAAATTCCATTTATTTGCCAGCTTAAAGTTCATTGAATTCGATTGTAGTCATTATATTACAGTGATACTACAATTCGATTGTAGTCTAGTGCACTGGTTCGCAATTCATTAGCTTTTAGTTCATTATCATTAAATGCATTTACAGAAGGTCTTTGAAACGATGGTCTAGCTAATTTTGAACTCCTTTTATTTTCGTTGTCAACAACGTTCTCGAAATACTATCCCCATTGTAATCCTGGTTCTTTTCTCAATGGGGAAAAAAGGAAAAAAAGAGAACAGCGAAAGTAAAAAGGAGAAAGGGCAGTAATCCAGAAGGATATCTGGAGGCTTCTTTGATGCAAAAGCATAAACCACTTAAATGAATCGCTTCTTTCGTCGTACGATCGATAATAGAAGGGTAGTAGTGAGCTCGAGAAACTCCGTGAGAGCCCCCAAAGTGGCCGTGAATCCGTGTTTGTGGTCGAGGTTGATAGCATCGAAGGCGGGCGTCTCGCCAAGCGAGACAGGGGTCTCTTTGCCCCTACCCCTTGCCGTACCACACACCAACCGATGTGGACGCTCTACTCTCGGATAGACCTCTCCTTCCCTCTTTTCGCAGCTTTCTCGCTTTCTCTCAGTGTGCCCTTAGGGGAGAAAATCCTTCCGTTCTCGTGGCACCGTGACCTAGGGCAACGTGAGAGCCCGAGGCGCGATAAAACGGGATGTCCCGTGACAGCACCCAAACATAACCCTCAAGACCCTGCCCGCCAACTCGAACCACGTCGACTGCCAGCCTCTTGCTCTCTTTCTCTTTCTCTTTCTCTCTCTCTTTCTCTCTCTCTCTCTCTCTCTCTCTCTTGCATCCTCCATCTCTTCCTACTCTCCAGCTAAAACCCCGGAAAGAGTTCATTGCCCTCGACCTTTCGTACCTACTCTCCTTTCTCCAGCATGCTCCGCTTACTCTCTAGGGCAGAACCACTTTACGTGCCGTATTACGAGCACACTCGTCGTCACTGACGACGCTGAATACAGATTCTTTTCACTTACCGAGTCTGCCTGAAAATAGGACGTTTATATCGGCACGCATTACTTTCTCGTTTACCAACTCGCGCTCGCGCGCACGTCTAGCTTCGCGTAACACGTTATAGCTTGTTCCTTGATCGCGTGCGAATAAACAGCTGGTAGAATCGGATAAACCGATGAAAGCGGTGTTTTTCCTTTCGTTCTTTGTCTTCGACTCGACAAAATGGATCATGCAGGAAAAGTTTCAGTATTACGATATTGCTATAATTTTATTTCATCTTACGTATCTAGTTTAGTAATTTTTGTTTAAATATTTTTTATTAAACATTTTCATAATTATATTTTCCAAATAAATTTTTATCAAAAGTACTTTAATATAATGTAAATTGTGTTGCTGCAATAGAAATTGATACATTATCGATAAACTATATTTTCATAATTATGTGTTTCTAATAAATTTACATAAAAAATGCTATATTACAGGAAGAAATTGTGTTGGTACATTATCGATAAACTTTTACATTATCATACTGATTGATGTTAAGCATCTTGATGAATCTATGGATTACATTAAAATTACTAACGATATCAAATCATTTAGAAGAGGTCATGTTATAGGTAGTAGTAAGATCATTATCTTGATGCAATCATTCGCTAATTTACATTTAATAATTCTGATGATACTCGAGTAAATTGATTAAAACGGAACACTCTATGTTGTACATATACATCCGAATACATGGGCAGCAAGAGAGAAGTTTATTTATCGTCGTGTCAGCATTTACCTCCTCCTCCTTCAGCTACCCGTACCGATACCATCACTTATTCTCTCGCTTGTTGGCTTACTATACAAAAATCAGCTGACAATTCACTTGTTAAGCATCTCTAAAATATTCTTCGACAATATTCTTCCTAATTAATTTATTTAAAAATTGAAAACAAAAGATGATATATTCATAAGAAGAAAAAAGTTGTTCCTTCGTCCTAAAGATTTCTGTTCTATTATGTTGGTTTACTGGCTCCTGGAATTTACATAAACTTACTACATACATATTTATCTCATATGTATCTATCACGGGCAATTGCGAAAGAGAAAACCGCACGTGCTTCGCGGTCGAACGCAATTCGCGTACAGGCAACGATCGCCCGGCATTTCGTGGTTTTGGTTTACTGCATAATTGCGCGTTTCGATGGATACGCCGACACAACATTGATACCTTTATCGCCACGATATTGCCAATTACCGTCGAGCGACATCGAGCACGTTTGTGTATGCAGATGGCGCTTTATACCCTACAGAATCTAACCTAATATGTATAATGCGTGAAAATGCATAGTTAACGCCAAATTTTCCACGATTACTGTCGAAATTAAACAAAAATTTTACACCTTGTTAACCAATATAATTCATTTTTGATTAACGAAAAGATCAATACATCAATACCATCGACTGAGTATGACTTAAGTATTTTTATTTTATCGAAGTAAGATGAAAAAAAAAAAAAATAAATAAATTATGAGAAAATTCATATAAGCGATATTTAATGTTGAGTACAAGATTTTATTTATATAATGATGATATAAAATAAAATCTTAATTCGAGGATAACGTTTGAATAATGAAAACATGAAGGACAATTTTAAACAAGCACTCTCGGTATCCCAATTTCTTGAATGAATCCCAAAAGGAGAAAAAAAAAAAAAAAAAAGAAAAAAAAGATGAAGATAAGAAAGAGAAGAGTACGTCGTTTTTTTTTCCTCGCGTCAAGGGTTGTGCAGAAATCGGCTACCGAAATGGCAGTATGACGTCTAGGGTAGGGGTAGACTACCGACAGACGGCGACTGCGGGGGCGGTGACCGGCCGCCAACGCGAATCAATACCCGCAGGAACAGGAACCGCCGACCTACGAGGTATGTGTGAGAGAACGAGAGACACGAAGAGAGAAAGAGAGAGAGAGGGAGAGAGAGAGAGAGAGAGACTTGCCGACGAAGAAGAGAGAGAAAGAGAGGGGCGCGAAAACGGCGTAGGAGGAGAAGCAGGATGAGACTGGAGAAGGAGGAATTGCGAGTTCTCCCGCCCCTCATCTACTCTTACCACTACTACCATCACTACCCATCACCTCCACCACTACCATCGCCATAGTCGCCGGCACTGCTGCTAATACATACGAATGTTCAGAGGTTGCTGCTCTACCTGTCTACCTTTTACGACTCTTTCGTGTCTTCGACGCTTTCCTTTTCTCCTCGACACGTGTAAAAGATGCATGCTCGAGGCGGGAGGAAGCGAAGAAAACGTTGAAGAATGCGTGAAGAAAACGAGATCCCTCTCTTGGGATATGGGACTAGTGTTCCTCTCATGCTTTTTCTGATCCACATTGATATCTCTTCCCATTGATCACTCTTTTATCTTTTGATAATTTTTCATGATCTTCCGTATGGTTATCGTACAGATTGTCCACTTTTTAAATTTATAATATAATCGATAAAACATATATATTTGAATAAAGACATAAATGAAATATTATAGAAGAAATTATCTTATAAAATGTTAAAGAATCCAACATGTCTACGAGACGTCAGATAGTGCGATATGTCCGAATACGTATTACTACCTCGTGACTTACAGTCTAGAGTTCGACGGACCGTCTATACGTGACCTTGACGGCCGACGATTGGACGGTGTTCTGCCCGAGAGATAGAGTGCGAAAGAGAGAGGCCGAGTGGAAGTCCAGAAGACAGTACGGCTACACGCAGATTACTCCTCTCCACACTACCACTCAACTGTACACACACAAACACACATGCCATCGTCGCTGGCACATAAATGCATGCCGTAGTCGGAGACTGGTTTGCCCAGTAACCTCGCATACTGGCCGAGCTAAGAAGAACGAAATGTACTCTCCAAGTCGAATACAAAAGACCACATTCCTCTATTCCTTCGAACCCTTCACGCCTTATCTTATACCACCTTCCTCCTTCTCTGTCTATTTGTCTGTCTGCCTGTCTCATTCCCCAACTTTTCTTTAGTCTTGCTTCAGGTTATAACACATTCCAGCATATTATTATCTTCTTTTTTTTTTCTTCTTTTTCTTGTTTCTTTTTTTTTCCTACTTTAAGCGTTCGAACTAGATTCAGCTCAGTAGATAAATTAACTACTTATAAACGGCCTGAATCATTAATCAAAAACTATTGCCAAATTTCAGCTTGTTACAGAACGATTTAAAATGAAAATAAACGGCCACTTTACTTGTTTTAGATTAATGGAATCGAATATGTTCGATTAATTTTTCTCGATGAACAAGAATATTCTAGAACAAGTTTTTTACTTTGATCTACAACAGCGTTCGATCGCTAGCAATCTCCGATTACCTCGTAAACAGGATAAAAGTCTCTTCGCGGTTATTGCAAAAAGATCATAGCATATCAAATAACAGAATTGTCACGTGCATTATTGTCTCGAAATGGACACACATATCTAATTGAGGTCGAGTTACATATTCCATGTATCTGTAGCGATCGTTTTAATAGATGATCAAGTCACTATTGTTATTTGCATCCTTCCTTTACATTGATTAAATATTATTGAATATGATACCATATAATATGATACTATATAATACCAGATAAGATACTTATCGAAAATAGTTGCTCATTTGTAGATGAGTAAATGATGAAATTCTTTCTTCGTTAATCTTGTTGGATAAGTGATACCATGATAAGCATGAACGTTCACTAATCCTTACTATAAACAGATATACCACATTGCCCCAGGCTCTGAGAGTTCTAATGCAATTTTAGTTCGGTGTGGAGGCAGGTCGAAACGGCAAGTAGTAAGGGTCTAGGTCAAGGTCTTAGGTCTAGTATTGCTATGAAGCGAAATCGACATTATTGGGCCATACTCCAAATATGCAATGCACTCACTATCGACAATAATATTTAACAATTGGATATTGAATGTTCGAAAGCAATGAATATAATATGCAAATGAATACAATAGAATATAAAGAAAATAAGCCCAATTAATGACATCATTTTTCTGTAAATGGAGAATATCGCAGGTGTTCGTACAATCATCGCTATTAGACTATAAGGACTTGGTATACAAGGCAAAAGAGTAATCAGAGCACTGTGCGACTGCTGAGTAAAGATAGATAAGTAAGTAGAACTGCGATAGAGTGGCCTGACATCTATTATCAAGAAAAAAGAACGTATTGTCCTACTATTTTATCGAAATGTTACCAAAAATTTCATTATCTGTATATAACCATTGCACAGTACTAATGCGTAAATCATCTCGTTTAAAAATATCTTCGATCAAAGGTATCATTTTGTTTTCGTATTTGTGTTCACAGCTTTACTGTAAGACAACTTGTGGTAATAGAAAAAAAAAAAAAAAAAGAACACAAAAAAATTTCTAAGTTACTCACCATGGAGACAACGGGTGGCGGAGGATTTCCGTTTCTGAGAGCCGCCGTTTGCTGACTCGCCGCGGGGTTCAGGTTGTCCTTGGCCTGCTGCATGGGATCCGGCTGATGCAGAGGCTGCTGCGCTTGCTGTTGCTGTTGTTGTTGTTGGTGTTGCTGCAGACCACCGATGCCTGCTTGAGGACTACCAAGACCTGCGGGTGCACTGTCTGGCGTGCTGACTTGTCGAGCGATTTTTCGATAACTCTGTAAATTTGAGAATAGAAAAATTTTTTATTTCAATATTAGTCCTCTCATCTCGTTCGTAAATTTTAAATATGTATATCAATATAAATATAGGATTTTATTGAAATTTCAAATAAATTTATTCAAAGCGTTAACTTTTACAAGTATTAAATTGAAAACAATAAATTTAATCGGACATCATCTTAGAAACTACGCAATAAATAATAAGAAACTACACATATTAAAAACTACATTTCTTACTGGCATCTTACTCTAAGATAAAAATTACAGTAAATCAACGCTAGAAGTCTGAACAAAAAGGAATGTTTTTCTACGTGGGAGAGTTGCATCGAATAATTTCTAATACTGTGTTTCATCTTCGTACCATCACGACACAAACTAGAAATGACGTATACATATATTTATCTTCGGAAATGAAGGAAGAAAAGGATGCTGGTACGAGAACTGAGTATACGCTGGTGTGACCCTAATGCTAAAAATAGCTACATGGCCTAAGTAGGCCGAGGCGGCTGAAACTGTTTCCATAGTCCAACTGGTTGAACGAACATCGTCGTTCCTACTAAAGCATGACCCCTTCCCCTTTCTTCTAGTTCTTTTTCTTCTCCTTCTTCTTCCTTCTCCTAATTTTCATTCTTCGTTTCGTAAATTTTATGATCATGACGGAGGTCGCGATACTCGTCAAAATCAAAACTATATCGCATACATTGTAAACCGAATCATTAATATAATTAAAATTCATTATAATTTCTTTTCATTTGTTCCTCACAAAGAAAAAAAAACCCCCACCATATGGATGCAACTTTTTCATCCCGAAAAAAGTTCCACTTTTATCTAATCGTTACATTTAAAATGAGTAATCAATTATAAGCGTCGTTCAAATAGATATTTGTCTGTTTAACAACGTAATAGAAGAATGTGATAAACTACTAAAATATAGTTTGAAAAAGATGGAACAAAATCGATGATAATCTTACCTTGAATAGAATATGGAACCTAGTTTATATAATAACGTGCATGCATATAATTATATAAGCTCATTATCTCGTGAAGGAAACATTATTTATTCCGATATTAATAATACGATCGCAGTACAGTCGCGAAGGTATATGAAAATATGGCTTCGAACTAACGGTGAGAAACACATCAACATAACATATATGTAGAAATCGACAGCTATTAATTTTCTCTCGCACGTGCATCATACAAGTTTTCGATCTTACCCTCTCCTCTCTTTCATTCTCAACTCCGTGTATTTTACGATAGAGTACACAACTCACAAATACGAAGACTGCATATTGGATTTATAAATAGGCAAGGTCTTGGGCCCACGCTAAGCCCACAGGAGAGAATCGTATTTGCCTACCGATTGCTCTGTCACCCGCTGAGATATTTTATTTACATAAATCGAGTTGCGACGTATGACCGGACATGCTCGATCATTTCAATATATATATATATATATATATAAAAATATAATATGTCATTAAGAAATATCTCACGAAAAGAACAAGCTACGGTTTAACTAAGTAAATATAATTAAAAATTGATCCATTAATCTTTGGTCGTAATTTATAAAAAAAAAAAAAACAAGAAATTTAAATAAAAATAAATGACAGATATAATAATAGAATAGGATTCATTATATCGTCGTAACGAACTGACACAACTTCTTTTCACACTATCTTCGAATAGCAGCCTCAACTTCACAGACTCATCCGTTTGTTATGCGATTGATGCGATTGGAATGACGAATAATTTAAAAATGACACACGTTCACTACCTTGGAGTCCATGTTCTTTCACGGTAAATCGACTTCTTGAAAATCTCGACGCTTTCTCTCTCTCTTTCTCTCTTTTTCTCTTTCTCTTTTTTTTTCTTTTTCTCTTTCTCTCTCTCTCTCTCTCTTTTTCTCCCGTCGTCTTTTATCGCGAACTTTAATCGGTGCTTTTTCAAGCCAGCCAAAGTTATAAATAGTCTTTCCTTATTCCCTGCTCTCAAACCGTCACGTGAAAGGCAGCCTTCCAAACGAGATGAAAACTTTCTTTATCGAAATGAATTAAACTTCGTTGTCGTCGTTGTTGTTGTTATTATTATCATAGAATTTCGCGGGACGTGATCACATAAAAATAATGATAAATAATGTACCGACCTATAAAACTTGTCGTCGAATTAAACTGACATCTTATTTAATGAAATATGTTTTGTAAAATGAAATATAATATCGATACGACTAAGCATTACGGGAACAGTAACTCGGTCGGATTTGACTTATCGTGCGATTACGATGGGCAGGAAAGTCATTATTTGTTTTCTACCGATAAAAGAATGATACCGAATGGAGGAAGGAGAAGCAATTTATGGGAGACATTACGAAACGACGCGACGCAATATTTTATTGTCCATACCCAGCTATATAACTCGCGTAAATGTAATTTTTTTCACTGTCTCTCTCTCTCTCTCTCTCTCTCTCTCTCTCTCTCTCTCTTTATACAAACACACACACATACACACACATATACATATATCTTTCTTTTTCACCCCCACCAGATCACTAACTTTTACTTCTTAACAGCAAAAAAGAAGACTCAATGGACTTGTCGCGAATTGTACATTAAATACTCATCGATCTCCCCCGTCGAAGATGAGTATCGACGAATGACACAAACGACGTTACTCAACGTAGTCGTGGTAAAAGCTCAAACCTTCGGTTTGTCCTTGTCTCATACGAGGGACAATGACCACAGGCTGAACTCTAGCCGGTTATTACCACCATAATTTCATCGATTATTCGTATATACCTCGCTGTAGAGAATTCTTAAGAATATTCTTCCTACGTACCCGAATGTAATTTCATCTATACGAAGGTTATCTTTTTGTTTATCTTATGAATTTAATACTTAAATTATTTTCCATAAAATTCTACACACGTTTCAAATCTCATATAGTATAGCATTCGTTCGTAAATCATTAAGAAATTTTACTTTTCAAAATATCATAAAAATTTCATAATCATGATCCTGGAAGAATTAGAGCTGAGTTTTCTTAAATCATTCGTTTTTTCTTTTCTTTTTTTTTCTGTTTCTTTTTTTTTTTTTCAAGACAAAATGGAAAAATAAAAAAAGAAGGATGCCTCAAAGCGGAGCACCTTTTGGCCATTTCATTTAAAACAACGCGACGCACAGGTTCGTTCATTTTTCTAACGGCCACGGAGTACAGCGCGCTATAACGACCGACGTGCATGCTCGTTTACGAGCTCATTTTTCGGACGATCTCGTCGGAAATAAATCCGCTGGAGGCCGTAGAAAAACTCATGCGAGGCAAAAAGAGAGAGAAAGAGAGAGAGAGAGAGAGAGAGAGAGAGAGAGAAAGAGGGAGAAAAAAAGAAGAAAAAAGGGACTTCTCTCTTCTTTGTCCAAACCGCGTAGACAGCAACGGCTCTTTAATGGCAAAGACAAGCAAAAGCGCATCCTGTTTTTAATGACCGAACTTGAGCGTGGAAATTCATTAAATCATTTTTTCTTTCTGCTTACTTTTTTTTTTTTTCTTCTTTTAATAAATCTAATCGTACAACGTATTTTTATTTGTCTTTCTTACCATCGCATAATAAGTTTGCAACAACAATTAAATTATTTGTTAAATATTTGTCATCGAATCTTACGTTGTTACTTGTTTCCTTTTTTTTCTCTTTCTTTTTTTTTTCTTTTTCTTTTTTCAATCCGTAAATACCAAAAACGAATATAAAACAGTGATAGATCGGTTTTGATTTATGATTTTGTTAATAAGATTGATCCCCCATTATATTGCTTATCCATAAATCACAGAAATAAATCGACGAATAAACGATCTATTGCGCATAATGATCATTAAAAAGGATGGTTTAAGCGGATGGTCGAACTTTCAAGGATAAATCCGTCATAACGTATATATATATGTTTCTATAGATATGTGCCTGTAGATGTATATCACAATCCTGCCAACAATGGAGATCGAAATTACGCGGAAGCCGAAGTCGATGGTACCTAACGAGCATGGTTATTGAAAAGATAATGCGTTCTCTTATTTCGTTCCTTTTTAAATCGCGAACGATTCGCTTCGTCATGAGGATATTTATACCAGGGTGTCTTACGCTTCCCTGAGTACCTTTTCAAAATTTAAAAATCGCATTACATACGGTTAATGATTTTATATATCTCAGAAAATAGGGACAATGATAGTTCAGCCATTTTATTGCTTCTATCGTTGGTAGTTCATTGGTAAATCACATTGATCCAATTCTCTCTCTTTCTCTTTCTCTCCCTCTCTCTCTCTCTCACTCACTCTCTCTCTCTCTCTCTCTTTCTTTTCCTTTCTTTGTAAAAGAAAATATCTTCTCTTTTACTACATGTCGATTGAAAAATTTATCTTTCAATATTCTCGAACATATTGAGTACTAGATCCATTTTCATCAAAAACAAGATGACGGGTTCTTTTGAAACGTCGATCATCGTTGAGAAAATATAATACATGTCATAATGGATCATTTTCCTTTTCATTTTCCTTTTCGAAAAATTTTTCCTCTTCTATCGGCAGGTAAAAATACATGACGTGGAATCTATGGCCGAGAGTTTCGTGGCTACCGGTTAGAAAGGGAATCCATTACGCAAGAGAACCACGTGGTCGATCACGTGGCCAATTATTCGGACGTTAATGTCTGCCACTGACGATCGTTCCACGACTTACTACAACAGTGCTTTGTTAGGATGCACCCTAACCCTAAGCTTAACGCACGTGAAAGCAAATATCCTTAGATATAGTAAAGCGCGGGAAATACAAATCTGTGGGCAGAACTTATAATTAATTAAGTGAGTATTCCAATTAATCTAATAATGTATAAACGAAAAAAAAAATCAAAGCAATTTTACCAAGCAATTTCAAAATATATAACGTAATACAAATTTCAATTTTTGTGAATGATTCTCGTGAAAAGGAAACACATAGATGACTGTTCGTCAATGTTAAAA